ACATCTGTGGGGAAAAAAAAAACAAATCCAAAAATCTTTTTTTTTTAATTGAAATTTTTTTTGTTTAAATCTTACCTGTGCAGCTGCTTTCTCAAACTTCTCCAGTCTTCTCTGGTCCACTCCACCACATTTGTAGACCAGGTGACCTGTGGTGGTGGACTTTCCACTGTCAACATGGCCAATAATCACCACGTTAACGTGAGTCTTCTCCTTTCCCATGGTTGGAGGCAAAGTCAAGGCGTCTGTGAAATGAGCAGCTCTGGTTGTGATAATAACTTTTTTTTCCCCTTGTTTCTGGATCAAGTGGATGAGCTCAGCAGCTCGCCCTGACTTTATGGGCTCCCACAGGCCAATCAGACGACAGGTGTGATGTTTAATCAGGCCTAATTACACTCATCCCTTCCGTGTTTGAGCGTTGATGCTGCTGAACAGCAGAGAAGGATTCAAAATCAGAGAGACTTCCTGCAGGTGACGTGATCCTGAGTTAATCCTGTTTATTTTTCTTCTTCACATCAGGCCGCAGGGCTAAAGTTCCAGCTTTGACTTTCATCAGTGTTTTTTTTTCTTGCAGCCACTCGGTCTTCAGGTCCTCCACCATGGATCACATAACAAGCTCAAATTACAGCCAGGTGCGTCAGCTGGAGCTGAACCTTTGAAAAGGCTTTTAGAATCAGACTCATTTATCACACATTTACTGGGTGTAAAAAAAAAAAAAAAAAGGTCAAAATGAGTAATAAATTATTACATATAGAGTACCTTTTATGAAGGTGTATTTTAGTTTGAAAATATCCAAAGGGATTGTTAATATTTAGAATATTTTCCCCTCTTTAAAGTTAATGACAAACAAGTGAAAAATGGTCTGATGGACGAACCAGGAAAATGATTTTAATTTTCAAACTACATGATTGACAGGTGTGGACGTCCTCACCCAAGACTTTGGTGTCGCATGTTAGGATAAAGTGACGGGTGTAAAATATCTGTTGACGGGTTTGTTCAGTATCATCAGTTACAGTAACGCGCTGGCTCGCTGCCAAACATGAAGTCAACAGTGTTATTGTTACTGTCATCATTATCAACTGTCCTTCACTTAAACACACAGCACAAAAAAAAAAAAAAAAAAAATTCAACAAATCCTTTAAAACTAAACCCTGACAAATAAAATATATTCATCCTAAAAGTTAAATCATATGTTTTCGTCATAAGCTCACAAGTACTGGTATCTTGTAAGAAATGTAAAGACTCAAAATGAGTAGAAGTAAAACCAAACAAAAATAAAACCACGTAGTGTTAAAGTAATTGTGCCAAATAAAAAAAACATGAAAAATGAGCTTAATTCTGATAAAAATGTAAAAACAATTACTCATATTTCATCCTAAAAAAAACTAAAGGCAGTACAAGGCAAAAATACTTTGAATTATTTTTACATATATATAACCTTGGTTCACGGTAGAAGATAGACTGGAGCAACAGCGCCCACTACATGTTGTGATTTATTTTTTCTCATTGGAAAAAACTGACTTTTGTACGAACATAAAACATTGAAGTTATTCGATTGAGGCGTTTTATAAAGTTATATCAGTGCAGCGTCCTAATTAAAGCAGCGGTGAGACATATAAATAGTCTCTGAAATCAGTAGTAATCCGGTCTAGTTAGCGGTTGAAACATGTTCTCGGTTTTTTCTGACCGAGCGGGTCCACGTCCGGCTGAGGCAGTTACCTCAGTCCGCCCCCCACTATTCCGCGCGCTGCGGTGAAACAAAACGAACGTCCCTGTTGTTTGACGCTCGATATCTAACCCGGAAACGGCGACCGCAAATCGTTTTTCTCCTCCTTTCAGCCCGGACCGCTGACTACGAGCGTGGCGTGGGTTTCCAGCCCTTCGACTCTCTGGTTTGTCCGTCAGCGTCAAGGTAAACGACATTAAAACTCTCATCACTTTATTCATTTATCCGACATTATTTAAACGTCTTCATTCATCCGCGTTCACTGTCGGCCGGCTGCCGTTCACTGACGCTTGTTTTCAGTGTTACCACTTTGTTCCATGTTCAGTCCTACATCTTAAACGTGTGTGACTCAGTCAGACCTACACGTTGCTAAGTTTTTTAGTGTTTATATATATATAAAAAGAAACCTGGCGAAATATGTCAGGTGTTGGTTTTCTCTGTGGCATCAACCAGCGTTGAACCGTTAACTTCCTCTTTCTTTCAACACTAACATTTTACCTCAGAGGTTTCTTCATCGCTAGCTGTATTTTCCTTTATTTTACTACAGGCTTTGAACGTTACATTTTCGACCACTGTATTAGTGAAGCCACGTTTTAGCTGCTTTAGCTTTTTTTTTGGCCCTTATATGAATCGTGAAGTGGAACTGGCTGATTCTCAGAGTCAGACGAGTCAAACTAACCAGAAAGGCTGTTTATGGGATGCTTCATTAAAGCTGCATTAAAGGAAATGGACACGCTGACAGCAGCGGCTCGGTTCTTCTCAGGGCAGGGCCACAGATGGTTATCGTACAACAGTCTGGCCTTTTGGAAATAATCGCCATTATTTAAATTATTTTCCAGTTGGTGCTAATATTACTACTAATAATATGCAACTTTGTTACTCCTTAATGCTTCCACCAGTATGCTGTTGTGTATGCCCATGTGATGTCTTCTATTTCTATTGAAAGCTTTAGCCTCCACAGAATGGCTACAGATAAACAGTGGAGTCCTATAAAGGCTGTAATTTGAAGGGTTTTGTCCCACAGTTGTTGTAGTTGTACAGGTCCATGACAGACTGGCGCTCTGTGCTTGGTATTTAACATTATTGCTGTGTTGTAATTCAGTTTCAGGGCCAGGGCAGTACAAATGTTTTTGTAGCCCCACCGTGGGGGCAGATGCTGGTTCCTGATTGTTGACAGTAAGCACGAACTATTGCCTGTTGTACGTTTTGAATATTTTGGACACAGGACACTGCATTAACCATGTCTTGTTGTTGTTTTATGGGTATTTTATTATAAGGTTAAACTAAGAATATACAATAATATATCATTACCTTAGTAGTACATACAGTACATATAAGTACAAATTTGTCAAATAATGGTTTGGTTTTTACAATTGTTTAATAAAATGACTGTATAGGTTTTTATATCGATGTAGCGACTCCTGCAGTGTGAGTTGTGTTCAGGTACCATATCTGAGACAGTTCTATTTAACTACAGGGTCTTGGAATAGAAAAGAAAATGGCGTGTTGGTCCTCTGATTGAGTCGACAGTTATAGTAATATTGGATCGTTGCCATCAATTTGAGTGAACATTTAATTTTTGCCCCCCCCGACGTCTGAGGAACTGTTTCGACCTAGAGCGGAAGTTTGTCATTTCCTTCTTGCGTTGCGTCTGAAAGGTCCTGAAAGTGGAAGTGAAACATCCTGAAAGCTAGTTCTGACTGTCTTAGGCAAGCGCAGCACCCTTTGTGTCTACCTGTAGGCAGGTGTTGTTGTTGTTGTTGTTGTTGTTGTTGTTGTTGTTGTTGTTGTTGTTGTTGTTGTTGTTGTTGTACTAAAGCCTTCTGTGGTCTCGGAATCCTCCTGACCTTCTCATCAATCTGTATTCCTAGTTCTTTCCTAGTTCCTTACGTGATTCCCATCCATAGATGCTGAAACGTACCACAACAGTAGTCTGTCTTTGTGGATCATATCTGATAAAATGATCTGGCTCCTCTCATTGGTTCGTCCTTCCATCCATCAGTCTGGTCTGGTCTGGAAGGTGGTGTAGTAGAGGTTCTGGATGAAACCATGTGGTCCATTCTGTGCTTTGGACTTTTCAGTTCCACCATTGACTCTTTCATGGTCTACAGTTCTTCTAGCGCCACTACTCAGTATGGATCAGATTATTTTGGATATAACGTGTTGATTAAAAAATTGCCCCTCCAGGTTTTGACACTTGTGTCAAGACACTAAAGTTCTTGACACAAACAAAAGCTCAAAAAAAAACCTTGGTTTAAGTTCAATTCAAAGTTACAGTGAATGACTTCATTAACACACATCATATGTGTTTTTTTTCTATAGCTCCATAAATAGGTCTGTTCTCCAGGAAGTCTGGTCTCTGACCTTGTGTTAAAGCGTTTGTGAAATAGCGTTGTTTCAGCAGCGTATGTGAAATTCTGTAGGCTTCCTCCTTGGCTCCTGTATCTTTAAAAATGTTGTGTCAAAACTCCCCTCTGCTGCTGAAGTTAAAATCGACGATTTTAGAAAGAAAAATATTTCCGTCACTTCATACCCTCGTGCTTTGGTGTGCAGTCAACCTGACAGCTACTGTAGCCGGCTTCTCCCAGCGGTGATGGACTCAGACATGGTGCAACTTGCTCCCATGTGTCACTGTGTGCTCTGTCAGAACTCACCCTTCCTTTTATTTGCGTTGTGTGATTGGAAAAGTTGCAGCAGCAGCAGTTACACCTCTTGCCAAAGTTGGAGGAAAGCCTAAAGTTGCGACAAAACAATTGAAATCTCACTCTGAGTGTTTTTCTTTTTTTCTTTTTCTTCAGGAAGTCACAAGCTCCAGCTTTGTTTGGTGAAACAGTCATGAAGTGAGAACAGGGCTCATTTGGCCCCTTGTTCTCCCTCATAAATCACTCCAGTGCAGGCACGGACATGCTCGTTGGTTCGACATGACCTTTCTAAGAAATTAAACATTGATTGGGAGTCGGGCTGTAACACATCAGATATTGGCTTCCTTCATGGTAGGAAGTTGTAATGATTCAAGTGATGACTGTTTAGGTAAAACCTGGCAGTGGTTTTGTTCTGTTTTGTTTGGTTTCAGATTTTTGTATTGTTTAATTACGGTGAAAAGAACATCCTGGACCTGGACCTATGGGGGAGAGGCATCATTTTTGAGTCTTTTGAATCATCCTGTGGTCAATATCACTAAGCTAACTGTAAGCTATTTTAAAGATAGCTATTTTGCGTTGCTATGTTTGGGTTAACTTGACATTTTCATAAAAGTATTCATCTGGCTAACCTATAGCTGTTTTTTGTTATTATTATAGTAACTGTATTAGTTAGCTTGTAGCTCATTTCTGGCCAGGTACTTCCACAGACTAACGCTGCAGTGCCCTCGGATGGAGGGGCAAGCTAAAAGTAATTTTTCTATTTGCCAAGGCCATTGACAAGCTGGGCTAACTGTAAGCTATTCCAAGGATAATGACAATTTTTTTTTTTTGGCCAAGTTTGTTTGGTAGATGCTGCGTTGGTATCACAGTAGTGGAGGAAAGTTGACTGAAGGTAATTTGAATTATTCATCATTTTTCCAGCCGTCTCTCCAAGTGCCTGTGCAGCAGAGACGCAACAGGAGCGACGGCACGTGAATCAGTGCAGATGGAATTTCTTGTTCTGTCCTCTCCTCTCACATCGATCAGGGAAAAAAAAAAAAAACGCTGCTGAAAATAAAAACCCTGTGATGATGCCACATATTTTAGGAGGGATTAAAGTGACTTCACAGGAATGTCCTGATGCTGCTGAAGGGCGAGGAACCCTGTGTGCTGCCCAGCTGGTCTGGTCGGAGAGCTGCGGGCCTCGGATTGAGTTACACCGACCGGGGGGTTCATTAAAGTCTCCTGCTTCAAGTTGTATGACTTATTTTATTCCTCTCTGCAAACGGCTGAGTGTGCACGTGTGTTCACACCGTGCACTTTATATCTTTATATTTTCAGCTGAGTCACTGCTTTAACACGTGCAGCTGATGAGCCATTATGTGGGTTTTACCCCATATCTTGGACATTTACTGCGTCTGATGTTTACTCTGCAGAGTTCTCATTTCTACCTCCACGGTGTCGATGTGACACAGTAATCACCCGTGATTTAATGCTGCCCGCAGTAGCCTCAAAAACCAGGCGGCCTCCGTGACCCGCTCCACACATTCAGCCGGAGTTTAACTTTTGTTTTTCTGCAGAGACGGCTGCTGAACGGCTGCAGTCTCCGTGCTGTGCCGACCAGAGCAGTATCGATCTCCTCCTCCTCCTCCTCCTTCAGCGTATTGCTGTTTGTGCAGTTATTTGTGTTTACTTCCTGTGTCTGATTTGGCTCGTTCAGCATTTTGCTAAATGCGATCATGACGATCTCCTAATCTTTGTTTGTTTTTTTTTCAAATCCAACCTTCCTTTTATTGTCAAATAAATTCAAAGTTCAAAGAACCTAAAATGAAGTTCTTTAGTGTCAAACATGTCTTGCACTGGCACAAAGGCATTAACAGTTGTTGAGCAACATTGTTGTATAACAGTTGAGATTGAAGTTATGCTCCAATGTCAGTTCTTCAGCTGAAGCCTCACGTATCAGAAACTCAGACTGTCCTTTTTACAACACGTGAATTTCAACCTTTGCCCTGAACACCAAGTATATGAGACTTTAATTTGACCTCATAAAAAGCCACAAACTGTTTCAGAGATTTACAAACACTGACTTTTCTTCACATTTTCAAACACATCGTTCTTTGGCTCCTGTTGAGTAATCCGAGTTTCCACTGCACACATACGTCTTCCATCACGGCTGCATGCCTGCTCTTGTCCATCAGCTCCTCATAGCTGAAGTGATGACATTTGAGTCAGTCAGTAAAAGCAGGCTGGGTGTCTGTACCCCGGCCCCTCCCTCAGACACTGACGTTTCATTCATCTTTTTAACAGTTCGTCTGATCGTAGAAACAATGACACACTTACAGTGTTTCACTTCACTGCTGCCTGATTCTAAATGATGGATGTCACCTGAAATATTTTTTTGTAGCTAGATAAAAATTCAGCCCTCCTTTTAATAAAACAGTCTGTGGTTTACTGGGTAGCTTTCTTGCTAACAGCACAAAATGGGCTGGAATGGAGTTATAGGCCAGGACTTGTTGACCCCTGCCCTGCTTCTCTGATGTGTTTGAATCCCATGTTTTTGCCAGT